GTGTGGGTGGTTAATTTTTCTAGAACTCATGTATTAATACATTTGCAATTAACTACTATCAATAATATGTACCGAATATGGACTAAATAAAAAGCATTCTTGAACGCTGAATTTCGTTCTGTGTCAATTAACTGTCTTAGAGACTTAAAAAAACGTTAAATACATCTTATTTGCAATTACTACTTTAGATAGGCCAACTAGTCGTTTTAATAGTCTCCCCAATGTCGTCCACTAGATACAATAACAAATTCAGGACCAGATTACAAGCCAAACCAATATGTTTAAAAAAAAAATTATACATGAATTTTCTTTTATTACACTAAAAAAAATGAAGTTGACTGGGGGATTGGACTTGACCGAGCTACGAGCCGACCAATCCCCCCTACATCCAAAATATATAAACGATTTTTCTTATTTTTTGTCTCTATTTTGTGGGATTATTATGGGAAGTTAAACGAAGTCGAAATATAATATTTTTAATACCATTTCGAAATGCTTATGACCTAGTTTTTCTCATCTCTAACAGCGTGCGAAACGACCAACCGTAGCGAAAGTTACCACTCGTCGAAGCAGGCCGTTCCAAAATTATATTAAATTATATTCCATAGAGACAATTTCTGCAAATTACCAAAATGTTCTAACGGATGTTTAACGGTTTATCGATGAAAGGACCAATTCCGCAAGAAACGTTTGAAATAAAGGTACAAATGTCAATTTTAAAACGATAGAGACCATTTTAGCAAAGAGTGTAAACGTTGGAGACCATTTATGCTAATTACCCTAATTGGAATATTGTGCGGTTCCTCTCCCCTGTTTGTCTTTCCAATTTCAGCTACTGTATTACAATATATTTTCCTTTAATGCTAGCCAGCATCCGATTTTGTTAAAAGCGTGTTTGCGCTCATGCATGAAAAGTGACCACCTCTCCAGGTTACCTTATTTGCAAAAAATTAAAAGAGAGAGAAGAAATGTAATTCTTTTTCTTGAGAAAAGAAATGTAATTCTTTTTCTTTAACTTCGTACTTGTTTGGCATTGCTCATAATCCGTTTATAAGAACCAAACATGCGCGGCAATGACGCTTCGATGAAGTATGTCACAAGCAAGTCGGTCTTTTAACTCTGACACCGCGTACATTCACTTTAGCTGGAACATTATTTCTCAAGCAAACAGAAGTTGAACCAAACGACAAATTCAATCTCGACTAACGCCAAATTAGCAAGCACGTTCTACGTTACATTTAACTGTTTGTAAATACATAAAATACAACCTCCAGGCACAGGGCAGCAGCCACTCAAATCGACTTTAAACATCAAAAATGTTAAATTATTCATCGTCAGGTATGGCATAAAAAGGCCACTTTCACACTCGTTACAAGACCCTGAAAACCCGAGAGGTGGTAAGACTAGTAGCCGTTTTGCCATATCTGTTGGGATTGCTTAGGCTGTCCTTGAGAGCCCCCAAGCGAACCATCTCTTGGATTTGGTTGTTGATGATCCTGCGAGATCCCCGTCTGGGAATGGTAGAAATTTGGGTAACCAAGATCTCCATAACTTTGTGACGGTTGCTGGCCTTGCCTAAATCCACCAGATTGCTGATTTTGCCCCTGATAATTGTAATACGTGCTGGCTGGAACAGCCGACACTGTTCTGGAATTTGTCCCTTGAAGCCACATAGCCGAGTTCCCGTTCTAAGAGAATGAGAAAAGGAAAAAATATGCATAAATGAAGAGAGATG